TTGAAGGTGTCTGAATACATTTTGGTTTGACTGTATATATATATATATATATATATATATATATATACATACAGTTATATACTATATATAGGCTAGCTATATAAATCTGTATTCAAATATAAATGTGTGTGTGTTTTGTGCACTTCATCAAAGTCGTTAGTATAGAACTGTCATGTCACGTGTCATAATCCCTTCTTCTGACTGCAGCTGAATGAAATGTGTCACATTAAAGCACCAGACACTCATTACATTAGGAAGAGCAGATGGTAAATCCCATCAGTCAGAGAGCAGGTGTGTACTGTTACCATGGAAACCTTTGTCTTTGCCGAGGAGGAGGAGAGGCGGCGCTCTGATTGGTCCTCTGTGAATGAGTGAGGGGAAACAGCAGAGTGGGAGGAGAGAGGCCTCTTGTTAGGCCACGACATCAGGAACATCATAGAAATACACTGATCTTTCTACTGAGGGTTACAGTGTTTTTGTTTTGTTTTGATGATTATCATATGTGGGTTGATAATATACATAAACTTGTTAAATAAATATATTTGCCTATACATATTACACTCTACTCACTAGACTAATATTTCTTAACAGTAATATTGTGAAATATTTGTACAATTTCAAATAGCTGTTTTCTATGTGAATATATAATAATATGTAATTTATTTCTGTGATGCGCAGCTGTATTTCCAGCATCATTACTCCAGTCTTCAGTGTCACATGATCTTCAGAAATCATTCTAATATGCTGATTTGCTGCTCAAGAAACATTTCTGATTATTATCAATGTTGAAAACAGTTGTGCTGCCCAATATTTTTTTGTGGAAACTGAAACATTTTATTTTTCATGATTCTTTAACACATAGAAAGTTCAAAAGAACAGCATTTATTTGACATAGAAATCTTTTGTAACATTATAAATGTCTATACTGTCACTTTTGATGAAATTAATGCGTCTTTACTTACCCCAAACTTTTAAATGGTAGTGTATCATGGTATCCAGACTAATATTATTATTATTATTAATACTAGATACAATGTACTTGTTTTATTGTGGTATAGTTGGGGGGAGGGGGGGTGGTGGAAGCGTCAATGCAATTAAAGATGTAATTACGGAAATTAATCAGATGTAATTACATGCAGGTTTTTAAATATAAGCAAAATGCAAAAACGCATGTACACAATAAGTGCATTGCATCAAATTATTAATTTAAATGTTAAAGACACTTAAGTGGGTACAATAATTTGATAAAAAATACATATTCCATATAGTCTCTCAAATAATAAGTGCTCATCTACACAAAACATCTAATATTTTAAAGTACCAGGCAAGATGCTGCTTGAAATGTCAACCACACATTTCCTGGCTCATGAGGGATTCTTTCTGGGAAATGAAGCGTCTGATAACAGTGACTATGCACTGGCATTTAGTTTATTTTTATATGCAGCAATGTATATCTGTCATTTGAAAAGAAGAGAAAACCAGCAGTTGATGATCAATGCGTTTTCAAAAGCACAATGTACAAAATTGCACCGAATATACAACATTATAAAAATTCAAGACAAAACACGTGATACATTTCAGGAACTATACGAAATGAAAAAAAACAATGACGTGGAGCTCAAGACTTTATTTATGCACAATACAGTATAGTAGCTACAAACATATTTCCCAATCCTGTTTAGTTTAGTTTATGAGATGCAGTAATTCCCCAGTCCAACTAAAAGCCATTTTATCCTGTGAGACACTTGATAATTCAAATGCTGATGCATGATGCATCCGTCCTAGCCAATATCAGTTACTAAATCATCAGTATTGATCTAATGGAAGCAGATATTTGATCCGTTTCAAAGCCACTGAACTGATGTTAATCTTTCCCATCATTCATACTGGAGGTTTGATTGATTCTGAACACTGTTTTTAAAACAACAGACGAAACAATATACCTGTATATTCTCAGTCATTGGTCTTGGTCAGTTGCATCTCTAATTCTGAGAGACGCTGAAGCTGCATGATGTGTGTTTTAAAGCACAGGACCGAAGGTAATATATCCTACCGACTGACATGAAACACTTAAATATGCTTTACAAGTAACTGATATACAGTGAGGTCCAAAAGTCTGTAAAATTAAGATGAAACATTTCAGACTGTACACTATTTCTATGTGACTACTCAAATGTAAGTAAATGAGTGTCACTGATCATGTGACTCTTTGTACAGATGGCCAGATTTTCTTCTTCTCTAATCATGCTGGAGACACTTTTTCACTCGTTTTGTCATGCTGATAATCAGTGTTGGGAAGGTTACTTTGGAAATGTAATAGGCTACAACTGTTAATCACTTTCAAACATGTAAACCAGGCAGGGTTAAACTTACAATATGTGCTTAACACTGATAACTGTCAGACTTTCGAAATCCTTCATCACGTGAATAAAGATAATAATATTTTAATTTTAAAGGAGACATTGGATGCAAAATATCTTCATTTGCATATAAATGTGTCTTAGCAGTGTGTGGACACAACCCCCGACAATGATAATTGTACAACCACTACAATGATAAAAATGCCCTCCTTTTTTTTTAACCCCCCAAAAACCTAAACAGTCTCAATTATCAAGCCATTTTGATTTTGAAATGAATTCCAGCATTCTCTTCCACCTTCAGCGGGATCGGGAAAGGTCCGATTTGAACACGGGACACCCGAAGTGCAATGGTGCTGTATGTCAGCGCGCTGCCCACAAGGCTATCAGTGTCAACACACTTTTTATTTTTTATGATTATTTGCGAATTGCGTTTGCTCTTCCACAAAAGAGAGGGGTGGGGTGAGCAGAGCTCATTAGCATGTAAAGAGATATGCACGGAAACGAGTCGCTGTGAACAGAGCTGTTTTTGACAAGGTAAAAAGGGTGTTGTTTTACACGACCACTGAGACCATTTCAAGAATACCCTAAAGAATCATACCAACGTGGAAAATGGGCATCTGATGTTCCCTTTACATTTGCTCTTCCACAGAAGAGAGGGGCGGGGCGAGCAGAGCTCATTAGCATGTAAAGAGAAATGCACCGAAACGAGTCGCTGTGAACAGAGCTGTTTTTGACAAGGTTTACCACTGAGACCATTTCAAGAATACCCTAAAGAACCATACCAACTTGTGGAAAATGGGCATCCGATGTCCCCTTTGAAGCACAGCCACCACAAAATCAGACTTACTTTAAAATCATTCTGAGGTTAAATACATATTTAAAATAATAACAAGAAATAGTTTAATAGCTATGATACTGTTTTTGAAATCAAATCTTTGCATATAGCTATGACCGGAAACACTGGAATCTAACAATACCTTAGAAAAAAAAGTTAAT